AAAAAAAAAGGCAGCCTTTGCTATTGCTGTACCCAATTACTGTGTCTTTGAGTTTCTATGTAATTTTTCCCCCTCATTACACGCTTATTCGATTTTTCACTCCATTTAAGTTGCACTGCATTCTCTAGCCATGCAAAATATTCCTAAAGGAGCATTAAAATATTCAAGAAATACGTTATGATAGCCCATTTATTAAATATGAGCTGTATTTAACAGCCTGGAGGACAGTGACCAGTGTCATCAGACACTTTCCTTCTCATCAAACGTAGTCGTTTCCCCAATGGTTGACTCGCACTGTTCAAAAATTTATTAAAGATTGAGTTACTCTGCCTGGAATTTTCAGTTGAAATGCTGCTCATAACAAAAAATGGTACAGTTTCAGTACCTTGGGAGCTATCCCAAATACATAAATACCTCTAGTACCAAAAATCATTTTAACCACCTCTTTCAGTTCGCAACCAGATCAATTCATAGAATCATGGAATCATAGAATATCCTGAGTTGGAAGGGACCCACAAGGATCATCAAGTCCAAATCCTGGCCCCACGCAGGACAGGCCCAATAAATCCCACCATGTGCCTGAGAGCATTGTCCAAATGCCTCTTGAACTCTGGCAGGTTGGTGCCACGACCACTTCCCTTTATATTCCTTTAAAAACCAAATTATTTTCATACTCATTCAAGACTCAACACGATTTTGAAATCAGGGAGTAAAGGGGTGACCCACAGGCAGAGCAATTCAAGATGTTAACAAGGACCAACATTGCTGGTCTGCAGCTTTAAAGATAAATGGACGGGTGCACATAGAGAGAACCAATAAATCGAGTATTAAAAAAACCTAAGAGATAAAAATTATAAAATATCAGATAAAACAACATCAGGTATAGGGTGAGTCAGTTTGGATTAACATATATTAAAAAGCAAGGACTATATGTCCCTTTTAACAAATGAAATATCAATTTCTTCCACACTGCTAGAGGGACAACTTGCCCACACACACACAAAACTCCATGAGAAAGTCACCTAAGCCATCCCCTCAGCTCTTCTTAGAGCAATACAAAAGAAAACAGCTACTTGTTTTTGTCATCAATGGAAAGAAGGGGTTTGGTGCTTCTTCCTTCAGACATCTCTTCCTCCCCTTTCAAAGTCAGAGGATTTATAAATTTGTTTTATCCTTGCCTCATAATTTTATTGTAGATAATCCAAGCCTTGCTTCAAGCCCAGGAATGATCCTTTTTAAAGGGTTGTGGTGCATGCATAGTAAACAGCTTTATATTTACACCACCATTACACCTACTTTCACAGCACTGTACCAGAATGATTATCCTCATTTTTTTATATCAAAATATAAAGAAAGATATTAAGAACTATGGGCAAAGTATTTTAGGTTACCCAGTTTGAAACCCCTAGAATTCCAATTTCCACAGTAGTCTGCACTTCTCAAGTGTTGTCAGTGCATCCAACTGACACAGCTACGCTGGTGGGACTAAGGAATCATAATCTCAATCCACACTCTAAAAGGAGGCACTTTCCTACTCACCAGAGATCCCAAGCGCCCAACAAATACTATTTTTGCCTGTCACGGCCCCACCTCCATTCTGTCATGAAGAACATGTCCCCCAACCATGTACCTGCAGCCCTTGTTGTGGCAGAGAAAAATCACGGAATCAGAGAATTGTTCAGGTTGGAAAAGACCTCTAAGATCAAGTTCAACCATTCCTCCAGCACTGCCTGGATCACCACTGACCCATGTCCCCAAGTGCCACATCCACAGGGATTTTTAATTTCTCCAGGGATGGGGACTCCAACACTGCCCTGGGCAGCCCCTTCCAATGCCTGACAACCTTCTCTGTGAAGAAAATTTTCCCAATATTCAGCCCAAACCTCCCCTGGCACAGCTTGAGGCCGTTTCCTCTCCTCCTGTCCCTTGTTCCCTGGGAGCAGAGCCCGACCCCCCCCCTGGCTCCCCCCTCCTGTCAGGGAGCTTCAGAGAGTGAGAAGGTCTTCCCTGAGCCTCCTTTTCTCCAGGTTGAGCCCTCCTAGCTCCCTCAGCTGCTCCTGGTGCTCCAGACCCTTCCCCAGCTCTGTTCCCTCCTCTGGACACAATTATTCCTTTATTTTATATGCAGATATAATTATACATTTTTATATCCACACCCTTTTTTACCTCTTTCCTGTTGCCAAACCCACATCAGATGCCATCTATCCTCGTCTTAATTTTCATCTACCACAGATTTCCTGGTCCCTCTCATTTCATTTCTTCTCACTTAATAATTTCACTTTATCTACCTCCCCACCACACTCCAGTTTGATGTGCAGGTCATGATGGCTCTGGGGAAAGCACAGAGGACACCCGGATAAATCCATCCCACAACTTAACATTTGACAACACAACAGTCCCTCAATAATCAGAGCAGCTGAGACCTTACCAGACCAAAAATACCATTTACTGAGTGAAAACACAGTGTTTTCAGAGTTCACAGTAAGTTCTTGACAAACTTATCTGTGAAACTTCAATAAATTTGGCCAAGTATGAGGGGAAGTAAAATGTGCACCCTTAGTTGCATTAGGAACTCAGAAATATTTCATGAGCATAAACTATATACCCAATTATTATTAATAAATTACTAATAAACCCAGGAATATCTAGCTTAAAATTATCTAAGGTTAAAGCGGAAACATAAAAGGACAAAGCAACAAGGCACTGAACACGTACTTTTGTGATCAATCACCTTCAAACAGGACTTCAAAGAAGAAAATCTAATAAGAAACACATTTGTGAACTCTCCCTTTTTCTACTAAATTATCTCTGAGAAGCAATAAATGGCAATTCTTTCCAAAACTTTGCTGCTAATAACTCACAGAATATGACAATGAACACGGGAACTAGTTAAACAGAACAGCTAAAGTGCTTCAAATAGGTAGAATAATTACTTATGCTACACACGATGATATTTTGATTGAGAAAATAATCAGAATATTTAGACTGCAGTGATTTGAAGCGTTAAGCCAAAGAACACTGGTTCTGAAATCTGAAATAAGGAATGCTGAGAAGTGTTAAATATTATAGGGAAAAATGTAAACTTATTTTGAATATAGCAGAATTATCTTGTCATATAATCCAGGGTTTAGTAAGCACTTCATAGCAAATACAAACTGATCTCAATCAATATGACTGATACTGCAAAATAAATACTCTGTAAAATTATTTTCACTAGAAAATACAAACTTTGTTTCCCTTGTTGAGGTAATATACTGCCACTATCAAAATAAAACATATTTCTCCACCACCTTTGTACTTATGACATAGTTTCACTAGTCTGGTAATTTTTCTTTCTTGCTTGCTTGTATAACACAAAGGTAAAATTCACAATCATCCCACCATCACAGCTATAAATTTTGACTTTCCCTGGAGCTTCAGAAATATCATCTCTGTTGCAGAAGTAGGTGTGAATAAATCTCATTCGACAGCTAAGCAGTGAGTTAGAAAATAGATAAAATAATAGTTTTAATCTCTTTATTCCCAGTAAGTCAGAGGAGAAAGTTTTCACTCAGTTTCCTAAAATTAGAAAGAGAAAATCCCCCCAAAAAGGCTGCTTTTTCACACATAACTGTGAACAAAACACAGTACTATGAATATACATCCCCCATAAGCATTCATGATGCCTGCAACATCATGGAAAGTGGAAAACACTTTACCTGAGGAGAAAAATGATGAATATTCTCATAAAGAGGCCAGGGACAATATCAGATGTCTCGCACAGTCTTCACTACATTTATTTTCACTAAGCACAACCACTCCCTTTGCATTGAACATCAGCCTTTTCCAGAAGGCAGCAGCAGCATCATCACTTTGGGGCTGAGATGTCACATGTTTTCTGTCCCTGTCTGTCAAACCTTTGCTGCCCATAACATGCAAAGTCCCACACAAAAGCCAGAGTACAATCAGACCACACAGGAATATTATTCCCAGGATCTTACCAACAAGGGACCTGTGAGCTGAGAAGGCCCTGAAAGCCATGCAGAATTCCTGAAATCTTGACCCACAATAACTGTGCAGGCAAAAACATGGATGCAAGAACAGATGCAGATGATAAGCCCAGTCCAGCACACCATGAGATAAATCACCTCCACTTTCAGCCTTAAATCCAGCAGGATTGAGCAGCTCCTGACTGCATGTGACATAAGCTTTTATTGTACCCTTGCTCGTTAATTCAAGTCAAGAGGACAGCATTCCCTAATAATAATCTTAGCAAACTCTTGCCCTAAGTCAGAATGAAAAAGAAAAATATTTTCAGAGACTGTCTGCAGGTTTCTTGGTGTTTTTTTTTCACTTTCTAAAGAATAATCCTCAAATGTGAGATAAGGAAAAATCATCAGACAGGACTGGCAATGAAATTAGCAGTTAAACAATTAACTGTCAAGAAAGTTACTTAAGCAGAACTGTATCTATTGCTGGAAGAGAGGTCGCAGCACTTTGCCTGCAGCTGAACTGACTGCTATCAACTGTGTTTGAGAGATGCTTTTTCCATATCTTTGATTAACATAATTCATGATTCAAGCTGAATGTTAATGTTTCCAAGACACTGAGCTGCATCACCATCTTCATTTTTTTTGTCTTGTCTTGCTCACTTGCCAGACTAACAGGATTTGACCATTCAACCAACACCAGATCTTGGTCACTAGACTAAACTGCCAGACTAACCAAACTTTGCACTATTTAGAACTATGTAGCTGGATTTGTCAAGGACACTAGGGATAAAGAGAACTTCTTTCTCTCTATCCCAGCCACTCCATATGAGCACAAATAACTCCTTATAATTCCAGCCCACTAGCAAGCAAACGACTATTCCTCATTTAAAATAACACAAATCAACGTTCCCCCTTTGCCTTTGCAGTCTGAGGAAATGGACCTGCATGAAAAGGGGAATTTGAGTCCTGTATAAGAACGACTTATTGCATGGAGAAACCCTTCATTTCCCACGCCCTTCTGATACTCACATCAAATTCATTCAGGGCAGCAGCAAGCTCTCCTATGCCAGTGTGGCCCTTGTTCTCGTCGGTGGGCGAGGTGGCCTGGGCAGCGTTGGAGATCCCAGCAATGGCCTCCTGCACTTGCTTGAAGACGTAGTCCCTGTTGGCCCTCGTGGCTGCAACGTCGGGGTGACGGAGGAAGGCCTGGGACGCCGTGTACAGCATGGTGGCATTCTTCTTCAGAGCCCCTCGGGCTGCAGCCATCTCATCCCTGCAGTGAGGGTCCTTCAGCTCCTGCACAAAAACACAAAGTTTTCATAGAATCACAGAATAGTTTGGGCTGGAAGGAACCCTCAGGATCATCTTGTTCCAACCTTCCTGCCACAGGCAGGGACACCTTCCACTAGCCCAGGTTGCTCCAAGCCCCGTCCAACCTGGCCTTGGACACTTCCAGGGATCCAGGGGCAGCCACAGCTTCTCTGGGCAACCTCTGCCAGGGCCTCACCACCCTTAGAGGGAAGAATTTCTTCCTGATATCTAATCTATGCTCTTACTCAGCTTAAAGCCCTTCCCCCTCATCCTTTCACCACATACCCTTGTAAATAATCTTGCCCCATCTTTCCTGTAAGTTCCCTTCAGGTACTGGAAGGCTACAATTAGGTCACCCCAAAGATTCTCGCCTCCAGGCTGAGCAATCCCAATTCTTTCAGCCTTTCCTCATAGCAGAGGTGTTCCATCCCTCTAATCATTCCAGCAGCCTCCTCAGGACTCGATCCAACAGCTCCGTGCCCTTCCCTGTGCTGCTGTTCCCCAGACCTGGAGGCAGCTTACAAAGAGTCCACACACTTCCCTTATGCAAAAACCCACCAAAAATTTATATAAAACATTCAGAATTACTCTTCCTGATCGGCTGGATTTGGTCTGCTCATTCCATAAAGGCAATGTGAGTGCAACGATCCTGTTGCAGCAAGTGCCTTATTTTTCTAAATGCTATACCCACATCCTTCAGACAATTATCATAAGGTAGACCTTTAAAAAACTATCAAAATAATAATATTTCCTAGACGAATATGATTTTAGCTCTTACAGACCTAGAAAATGTACCTCTCACTTTTTTTAGCCTTTCCTTCATATTTTGCTCTATTCTTCATACCATGTAGTGTTTGTCTCTTTTGTATATGACATATATTTTCTTTTATTTCCCCTGACAACAAGAATCAGATATTGCACAATATGTTACCAGAATAAGATGGTACTGTACTATTGTTGATCCAGGTTTTTTCAATTATAGGGTACATCACATTGCCCTTGAAACCCTTTGAAATATTAGTTAAGATAGTCCTAACAATATCCACAAGAGATAACAAAACATTATTACTTCTATTTAAAACTACGAATAAAGAAGTCTGGAGAGCTGAACAGTTTACTTATGTTCACACATAGAATCTGTTGCAAACACTGAAAAACAACCCAGATATTCTGGATTTAGAGGTTCCACCCATGGACTAATTTCAGCCACATGTGTTCCTAAAAAATTTATCAGGCTAGGAAACAGAAGACATGAAAGGAAAATCTATGAACATCTTAGTAGTTTGTTCTAATGCTGTCAAGATTTTCCAGTTACATGGAAAATTTTACTGGTATTATGAAAATGCATCTTAAGAAAATTTTAAGAGATTTATAACTTAGATTTTTTTATCATACCTCCAGTAAGAACTTAAAAGATATAAACCATTCATAAGCTTTCACATTTTTCTCTTTTTTGCCGTATTTGTAACTGTAGTTCCACAGGGGAAGTGTCTGAACATACAGAAGAGCACTGTTCATAAAGTGACTAGATTTTACATTTGTAACTTATTTCATTTCAGTACAACTCTGAAAATGCTACTTTTCATTAAAAAAAAAACCAACAAAAAACCACCAAAAAACCCCTACTATCATGAAGTAAACTGCCATTACTGTAATTCAGAAAATAAGGTAAATAGGCAGAGGACTATGGAAAGCCAGCTTTCCAAATCCGGTGTGCCATGTACAAAGATGACATATCTCTCAGTTATTGGTGGTATTCAAATACAACTGAAGTTGGAGAGACCTTATTCAACTCCACAGTGACAGCACTGTCTTAAGAAGAACAGTGTGCAGGAGAAAGTTTTCTTTATTGCAAAGTTGTACAATTGCAGACCTCGAATAAATGTTATCATGAATTTCTGGTCTTTTTTTCAGTTGCCTTAGCAATGAATAAATAGGATGGAGCACTTGTTTTTTTAAATATCTGGAAATTAATAATAATGGTTTTAAACACAAAGTAGATTGCTGTTCCTCATGAATTTTAATTGTACTAAACTACCAAAAAGCTTTGGTAGTGCTTTAGCAGCTGTCAGAGGGACCTGAGATCTGCATAGGTTAGAATTAAATGGGAATAATCATCAAATGAAAACTATCCTTAACCTCCTGAATCACTGGCCTTTTCACTCCTCAATCTGTTATTAACTGAAGCTGCTTGAAAAGTACTCTAAAAGAAGCCGTACTTCTGGAAAGCTTCATCACATTCAAAAATAATCAGCCTGATTAAATTACAGGGCCATGACACAGCAATCGCTCACTGCACATTTAAAACCAGGCTTGGACATAAAACACAAGACCTTCAGAACCAAGACAGACTTTCTCAACCCCTCAGGGACTCACCTGTTGTCGTCTGGCAGCCACATAGTTCAGTTTTACCATCTCCTTCCCAAATTCCTTGAAGCGATTCGCTAAATCTTGCTCATTTGTTGCATTTTTCACTGCTTCTAGTGCTTCCTCTACCTACAAAATAATACATCAGATGTGTCAGCACTTTAATCTGGGTGCACTTTTGACAAATGTGTAACTGTTCCACCCAACACTCTCTATTACATGGACCCAATTTAGCTTTTACATCCATCACTGTACATTTGCTCTATGACAGTCTGACCAACTTTAATTAGATTTCTTTAATAGAGCAGCTGTCATTCTGCATTACTTTCCCTTTACCATGCTCTGAGATCATGTAAAACCAATGTAAAAGGCATAACTGTATTAATTTCTCCACTCAGCACTTATCAGATGAAATATTTAATATCTGTGGGTTTTAAAACAAAATAGATGAATATGCTCTTAATGTGTGGCAGAGGCTTTACGGGAAAACAAAGGGAAATTATTAATTCTGGACAGGAAATAGAATTTTAAAAGGAAACTCAAACTTACCATTAAGATTCAAATTTGCCCTGATAAATTCAAACCATTTTTGTGAAATAAATGATATCTTCAACCCAGAATATATGTCTTATTTCTTTTTTCCCAGCTCTCGGCTTTCCTTTTTTAGTGATTTAACACTGAGAAAGGAATCTACCCAAGAAAACACACCTGCAGTTACTCAGTCATGCTGAGCAGGCAAAGATGTAAAACCCCAGTTGTACCAACAAGTTAATCCACCAAATCTATTGTGAATCTTTACCTTATGCACAGCAACAAAAAATATCTGAAGGCATAAAATGCTCTATTCATGCAATAAGGTAAGGAAAACTTTACTGTGACAAGATGGGTATTCAAAGTTGTATTTCTCTCCCTCACAAGATAAAAGTGCAATTCCAAGCAAAAAGATTGAGAACTGAAAAGATTCTACGGATCCTTCTTTCTAAAACCTATTGCTGCAATTCATGAGAACGTGAATAACAAATCTTCACCTCAAAGGGAAATTGGGATGGGGACACGGTCCTGGGCAAGAGCAGAGGTTTGCAGCTCTCCAAAGGCTACTGGGAACCTCTAAATTCAGCAGTAGCTGCTGTCTAATATTCTAGAAAGGCAAAATTATGTAGAGAACCTGGCTCTTTATTGGTTTAGTTGCTCCATGTTTTCCTACCTGTGAGAGAGAATACTTTACTTTGAGCTTTTACCTCCTTACTGCAGATTTACCAAATTACAGGGCAGTGGAGTAGCAAACTCATACATTTCTATTGGAAAATGCATAATTCAAGCACATAAATTCATAGCTGTTATGCTGGAAATTATAAACTGAGTCTGAGACACATAAGTTACAAGCTTATCCAGAATCCAAATTACCTCTTCCTTTACTCTTAGAAAGAACAGCAGTTTTTAAAAATTAACTGTCTGCCTTACCAATAACACAAATAAGAAAAGCATTACTCTATTAACTAATTTGTTCTTGCGGAATTTCTTGCAAAATATGAACATTTTCCTTTCATATGAAGAAGCATTTACATTAAACTGCCTGAGATTTTCACCTTTAGTATGTTTGTTATGCTGAGCACAGGCATGACAAACTGACACACATTCTCCTAAGCCCTGCTAGCTCCATATTAAATCATATTGCTGAAGAATTTGTTATAGATTCCCCTCTGATAATCAGATTTCAAAAGATGCTGATCATACTCTGTCGTGTCAGTCAGGGCTCAAGCCCACGAAACCAGTTATGAGAAGTATTAGAAAGGACAGGAGCACGAGCCCCCCTTTAATTGTATTTTCACTTGTATTGTTATTATAATTTCTTTTTTACAAATTCATATTGGAGCAAGTTCTCAATCCTCAAGAAAACACGACTTCACTCAACTGTACAGATGTGTTCTTCTGATTAAAGAGCAAGGAGGTAATTAAAATACTCATAGTTCTCTGCATGCATGATCACAGACAGTATTGGTACATGAGGGCTTTTTATGAGTGTTACAAAAGCTCCTGCAATAACCACTGTTCCTGATTTTAGTAATGCAAAAACTAACCTGAAAGCAATGACCAAGTGTCCTTCCAGAAAGCATCTGCATCTATTCCCTCTAAAAACATTAATTAAAATGCCCTATTTCCTGGAAGTCTTTGACAAGCTTTCAGAGAAAACTGATTACAGTACAATTCAGTATAAGGCAGGGTTCAGTACTTTGACATGCAGAATTATTTTAGCTCATTGATTTTATGGTTAACTTACACCAGTCTTTGAAAGTTACCTTTGAGTCAATATAAGATCTGTTCCTTCCCCAATTTTGTATGCCATAACCACTTTTTCTCCCCAGTAATTTAATTTTTATTTGCTTAAAACTAGTTAGCACTAAAAAATGGTAAGATAAACATATTTACATGTTCAGTCCTCAGAAATAAATTATCCTTTTTAACCTGAAAATAAAAATGAAAGTCAACATTGAATTTTGCTGAAAACACCCAGAGATTGCTGGCTTTTTCGAAAACAGAATTCACAATATTATTGGATAAATGCAAAGATTACAAACCACACTGTCATGCACTGCCCCTGCAAATCTAGGGTGCAAACCGTGTAAGTAAATACACCCACTTACAAACCAGTATTGGACATTTGTGTTTTCCATAACACAGTACTCTGCTGTAAAACAAAAAAAAAACCAAATCTCGGATGTGAGAACAAAATTCCTCATCGCCTGCGAAAGAGCTGGAATACAACTCTTCAACATAATGTTCAGAAAAAAAACCCTGTTGTTTACGATATTCAAGTGTTAGCCTGGCTAGGAAAAGCCTGCTTGAATTACAGTTGCATTTTAGCAAGGGAAAACTTAAAAAGCATATTTGAGAGAGACACTGCTTACACTGCACAGAACCAGGGCCACGTGCTGACGACAACGAGAGCAGCACTTTGCTCAGCAGAGCAGAGCTCACTAGAACCTGTGCTGAAAAATCGGCCTTTTTCTTATGGAAACTGTTTTCCAACTGTTCAGGTTATCTGCACAGTTTGCAAGTTGAAGGGTTCTCACTGTTTTTTCCAGAACAGCTATCACTGTGCAGCTGAATCTGTTAAAAGAAGCAATTCCCCATCTCCTCTGCTAAACTCACACAGGCAGCTCTGCAGGCTTTAAATATTCTGTATGTGATTTTCTACACCATCTCGTTTTGTTTCAGAGGGTTTTGTTGATTTGTTTATGCAAAAAAAGTGTAATACTCCAATAGGGAAAAAAAATTTCCAGTTTCAACTTAATAGTCTTTTAATATTCCTGAATAAAAACGAGAATGGTGGCAGCCAAAAGTGAATACAAACCCTTCACAAACTATCTGGCCATGTTTAATTCCTCTTTATTCTATTCTTCCTCTCTAATGACTGATTATAAGCTGTACTATTGCCTCACTTCAAATAAAACATTCAATCTTTTGACATATCCAGAAGTCAAGCAGAGAAAAAAAAGAAAAGTAGGAAACTATAGTACTTAAACTCTACCACAAGATAGCAATGCTTGACAAGTACTGAGAGAGTAACCACTGGGAGAAGATGTGAGGTGAGTACACACTCCTGCTCAGTTCACAGCTGTTTAACAGCCAAATTAGCCCAGTCACTGAAGACATCTGACTAATTTTGTCTTAAGTCTCCAAATATTAAGTTGTGCAAAATTAAAAAACGAATGAGACTAATATAGAAACATGTTATGATCTCTTATCAGCACTTGAAGAAAAAACAGCGAAGAGTAAGGAATGTTGACAGTTATATTCATAACCGATTTATTCCCTGGTTTTCTACACACAAAGCATGCAAACCCAAGAGAGAAGGTGAAGAACGCCTACAATCTTCAGGTGTGAGAGAAGCCTCATGACATCAGCCATGTCAGCCAGGATGAGGAGGCGGGTGACGGCCGAGAGCAGGGCCCGGGCTGCCCTCACCATGGTGCCCCTCTTCACCGAGGAGCAGGGGTCGTCGGCGAACTCCGAGGAGGCAATTCGCATGGTTTCTCCTAGAAAGGAAAACACACACGGTAAATAAATTAGGTTTTAGCCTTGGTTTGTTTGTTTGTTGGTTTTTTTTTTTTCAGAAAGTATAAACAGCTCACTAAATAAAGTAAGTGATGTTAAGAAAAAAATCATGGGTTGGAAGGGACCGTAAAGACCATCCAGTTCCACTCCCCTGCCATGGGCAGGGACACCTTCCACTAGTCCAAGTTGCTCCAAGCTCCATCCAACCTGGCCTTGGACACTTCCAGGGATCCAGGGGCAGCCACAGCTTCTCTGGGCAACCTGGGCCAGGACCTGACCACCTTCACAGCAAAGAATTCCCTCCCAGTATCCCATCTAACCCTGCCCTCTGGCAGTGGGAAGCCATTCCCCCTCGTCCTGTCACTCCAGGCCCTTGTCCAAAGTCCCTCTCCAGCTCTCCTGGAGCCCCTTCAGGTACTGGAATGCTGCAATTAGGTCTTCCCAAGGCCTTCTCTTCTCCAGGCTGAACAACCCTAACTCTCCCAAGGTTGTCATCATAGATTTTATCTCAACCCAATGAGATTTTACATTAACCCAAACTTTGCTATTATTGAAAATAAAACGAATCTTGTTTTTCTTCAGTGCAGAAATTCAGAAAGTACTGCTAATGTGAAATTAAAGCATATTTACATTGCTTTTAAGACCATTATAACAACATCCAAAAAAATCCCAGATGGCACAACTTCCCATAAGACAATGCAAATAGTGGGGGAGAGACTTAAGACTGCCACAGTGAATAATTCCCATCAGAATTCTTTTCCTTATTACATTTACCACTAGGACTGCATGTTCATATTATAATTTGTGTGCAGTGTATCTTAGATGATAAGCTGATAATATACAGTTTCAGTAGAAAAATTCAAACAGCACATTTCTAAGGCTACATACCCTTCTTATCTTTCCAAAATGTTGGCAAAACTCTCAAAGGATTTCTTTGGAGACAACGAACAAAAAATCATTGTCAGACAAAGAAAACAAACCAAATTTCTAAACGTGGTTAAATGTTACACTGCTCAAGCATCACAGAGTCAAAGCTCTGGGTACCTTCTCTCTGAAGAGAAACAAGTTTCTGCAGAGGAGGAAGAACACAGTTTGCTGTCCCTGCCTTCCCATGCATTTAACCTGTGTGCCAAAGATCACTGAAACTAAGAGCAAGGAACTCTGAGGTCAAAAAGATCCATATACAAAGATACACAAGCTTCAAATCAAACAGTTACTCAAAAAATTTGAGTAACAAGTCTTGGCTGAGACTGTGCTAAAAATTGGGATTAATTTTTTAGTTATTATTATTATTATTACTATTATTTTTAAATCAGTGACTCACAATATTTCATGCAAAAGAAGAGATTAAGACCAACTACAGAATAGCTGAGTCCAACAGGTGAACAAGAGTTAGATGTGAGTTTCCTAACCTGGGAATTTGATCCCAGTGGATGACTGGATTCATCTAACCAGTTTAACAACTGGGAAGGCAGTTATTTATTGAAGGAAATTATCACTTTGTGTAGAAAGTTTGCTCCAATTCACCCTCTCAGAGCACACTGAGCTGACTGACCCCAAGGGGATACACACAACTGCCTGAAATCCCAGCAAGGCTTTCCCTTATTTAAGCTCTAAGTTGGATTCAGATGAGAGGGAAGTGATTGTAAGCATCCAGAAACAAAACTTTTGTATGTGAAAGTAGTGAATTTTAGGTGTATCCAAGAGGAAATAGAGGCCAAAGCAAGATTTGGATTTTGGAATCAGATGCCTGCAAAATAACTTCCATTTTGGTACTGAAGGGATTTTACCATTTCCTGCCAAATTACCAGTCTGTAACTTCAGGTAAGCATTTATACTGAAATATGAAAGAAGGAAATAATGTTTGGTAATCGGTCAGTGGCACCAGGAAAGCAAGCAGGAAAATTATCTTCTTAGGCTGGACTATCCAAGGAAAAAAATTGAAAATCAACACAGCAGGAAAATGTAAGGACAGTCAAAAAAAAAAAAACAGTTAAAAAATCTGGATTACTTATTTAACCCCAGAAAGCTCAAGTTACGTGAAATAAATAAAAAAAAAAGAAAAGAAAAGTAGAAAGTATTAAATGAACATAATCAAATAAGCAAATCAAAAAAGTATTAATATAAAAGTTCAAAACCGTTTAAAACTTTTAAAGATCTAGTAGTTCATAATTTAAAATCTAATAGCCTAGAAAACTGGTATTTATAGAGAGGAAGCTCGTCTGTCTCTGTGCCAATTAACATATTTTAATCCTTGTACAGCAATGGTATCAAACCACTCTTAGGCTAAAGGTAATGCTGGAGCTTCAGCTAGTCCAATTATTTTTTTAAAAAAACCTTTTTATCTGGAAAAAGCCAACCCTCCACTGAGTCACCCATTTCTTTCCAAATTCATTTCAAGTTGTTCTGTAATCTATATTAAATTACTTTCAGGGAAAATTAGGTCAATGCAAGAAACACAGACATCTGAAGTCATCAGGTCTGCTTCCCTGCCACTGCAGTCAATCATGTCATAATAGAATTAATAATAATCTTAATATGATAATACCTACACTCAAAAACTTATCAGGCTTCCATCTTAGAAACAGCTCAGACATTTAACCCCAATTAATCCTATGTGAAGTAGGAAAGTGATTCTAAAATGAACTCCAGAACCCGACAGGTTCTTTCCATTACAAACACTTTAATGCCATGCTGCCTGTATTTATAGATAATTTATATCCATTTCTTCTCATGCCCTAACTGTCCTTCAATCTCACTAAGTGTTCTTCTTCCACCCTTATTCCCATTGTCCCTTCTTCGCTTTGTGCATTTTTGTGACGAGCCCTGACAGATTAAAAGCAGCATTTCAGTCCCCTCTAATTGCACGGAATATCCATTCCAATAATCATTCCAGCAGCCCCACGAAACAATTCTGCTTCCGGAGTAGAAGTGATAAGAACTGCAGTTTTCTAGGACATATCATTTGCAGCTACGAGAAATCCTTCGTAGAGTCCCAGAATATCCTGGGCTGGAAAGGACCTGTAGGGATCACTGAGTCCAACCCCTGGCTCTCCACAGGACCAGCCCCGAGAGTCACAACGCGTTGCCCAAACACTTCCTGAGCTCTGTCAGGCTTGGTGCTGTGACCACTGCCCTGGGGAGCTTGGTCCAGTGCCCCACCACCCCCCCGGGGGAAGAACATTTTCCTAATATCCAACCCAAACCTTCCCTGTTAGAAAATGATTTAAAAGGGATTTTAGAAAACCTAGAACATTCAGTGGAGAAAGCCTCCATTAGCCACATAAGAAATACTGATCTTAAAAGAAGGGAACAAAATAAAACCAAAAAAAACCCACCCAAGTTAAAACCAAACCCAATAAAAAAAATACCAATCACAAAAAAACTAACAGTGAAATTCAGCTTCATTCCCAAATTTGAATGATTACCAGTAAATACCTGCAGGGAGGGTGCAGAGAGGACAGAGCCAGGCTCTTCCCAGTGGTGCCCACTGACAGGACAAGGGGCAGTGGGCACACACTGAGACACAGGAGGGTCACTGAACATCAGGGAACAGTTTTGGTCTGTGAGGGTGATGGATGGAATGGGTTGTGCAGGGATGTTTTGGAGTTTCCATCCTCAGAAATATTCCAAATCTGTCTGGACGCAGTCCTGGGCACTGAGCTCCGTGTGGCCTCAAAGGGGGTTGGACCAGAGGATTTCCAGAGGTCCCTTCCACCCTCAGCCATTCTCTGACCCCATGAACCTGACAACAGCCACACCCCAAGCCATTCCTGCACCTGAGCAATGGCTAAAAGATGTGTCCACTGTTATCATTTGGCTTCTGGGATCTCATCAGCTTGAGAAGGTTCAAACCTACAGCTCCCGTCTCCCAGGATGTGGTCAAACCACTTCCCCTGCCCTGAGGGGATTTAAGTGGGGGACCTGCTCTCCTTCCTTGAGGGGGAATGCAAGAGGAGAGTTCGTAATATTCACTTTCTAATAATAAAGTTACAGTACCTAGAAATGGAGTCTTTTAGACCTGATTCTCAAAAAAAACCCCTTTTCCCTCAGATTTTCAAAATACAATGTTGAGGTGGCAAATAAGGATTCTTCCTGCCACAAAATGTTGTTTTATTTTGGATATTAAATTCGGGCACTCATAGAACAGCAATGAAAGATGTCTTTGCATGTATTTCACCAGAATCACATGCACATAAAAGTCACCTGGTAACCTGGGTGAGGTAACTCGTGCACTACGAGCTGAAAGACTGCTTTCAAAAAAATCAACAGCTGATTGCAAAGGTCACCAAAAAAAGGCTACTGGAACTTTGGGACTCATAAGCAGACTTAAAGGTAAACATTTACCTATAAAGCAAACAATGAACTAAGGCTTTTTTAATGGTTAATACACAGAGGAAATGTCATTTTTCCAAAGCCTTGAAGTGTTTATTAAAATAGAGATAGAAGACAGGCACAAAGCAGCAATCCAGAGAACAGCTCTCATCAGCAGGGGATGCTGACAATACTCCAAACACCTGGAAATAATTAGTGGAACAATGACAAATTGATTGGCTGCACCACTCCTGAGCAGTTCTCAGATGGAAGAAATTAATAAAGCTGTGGTCTAATTAATCAATCTCTTTTAGATTTTGGGTTTTGTTCAACACGCCCAAGATTAAAAAGATGCGACAACTGATCCATGATCTAATTAAAGTATTTTAGAGGGCTCTCCTTGTAATTAGAGCAAAAGCATTGTTATGAAGCCATTCTAGATTATAATAGTATATGGACACAAACTGAGTTGCACATTCCATATTGAACAGTGATGATGACACTAAATGATGATATGAAAGAGCTGAATAACTCATAATTGCTAATAGGGCATATTAAAATATAAGCAGCTTTTTTGTCCTTCCTTCATGGATGCTGTCTCATTATTCAAGCAAACAAAAGCAAACCTTTCAAGATGAAAAGATCTCCAATTTTATCCCATTTGGAC